TATCTATCTATCTATCTATCTATCTATCTATCTATCTATCTATCTATGTATATATATATGTATATATATATATATATATATATAGGGGAGTGGTGGTGCAGAGGTTAGAGGTGGGCCTGTGATTGGAAGGTCGTTGATTCAACTCCCCATACCAACACCAAAATGTGGGTGGGAAAGGTGAAGCACCCACACTCGCTTCCACCCTCATTTGCTCAACTCTGGGCCCTTGAGCAAGGCAATTAATCCCCACCATCTGCACCCCCGGCGCCCTAAATGAGCTTCCTGCTCCACACAGAGGGCTGTGGTAGCTCGGTGGTGTTGGGTTGCGTCAGCAAGGGCATCAGGTGTTACAACCATTGTCAAGTCTTCATGTGAGTTAGTTCACTGTGGCAACCTGAAGAAGGGAGCAACTAAAAGAAGAAAAACAAACATCCATCCATACAGGTCCTTCTCAAAACATTAGCATATTGTGATAAAGGTAATTATTTTCCATAATGTAATGATAAAAATGAAACTTTCATATATTTCAGATTCATTGCACACCAACTGAAATATTTCAGGTCTTTAATTGTTTTAATACTGATGATTATGGCATACAGCTCATGAAAACCCAAAATGCCTGTCACAAAAAATTAGCATATTTCATCCCACCAATGAAAGACAAGTGTTTTTAATACAAAAAACACCAACCTTCAAATAATCATGTTCAGTTATGCACTCATTACTTGGTCGGGAATCCTTTTGCATGAATGACTGCTTCAATGCAGCGTGGCATGGAGGCAATCAGCCTGTGGCACTGCTGAGGTGTTATGGAGGCCCAGGATGCTTCGATAGCGGCCTTAAGCTCATCCAGAGTGTTGGGTCTTGTGTCTCTCAACTTTCTCTTCACAATATCCCACAGGTTCTCTATGGGGCTCAGGTCAGGAGAGTTGGCAGGCCAATTGAGCACAGTAATACCATGGTCAGTAAACCATTTACCAGTGGTTTTGGCACTGTGAGCAGGTGTCAGGTCGTGCTGAAAAATGAAATCTTCATCTCCATAAAGCTTTTCAGCAGATGGAAGCATGAAGTGCTCCAAAATCTCCTGATAGCTGCATTGACCCTGCCCTTGATAAAACACAGTGGACCAACACCAGCAGATGACATGACACCCCAGTGACTGTGGAAACTTGACACTGGACCTCAAGCAATGTGAATTCTGTGTCTCCTCTCTTCCTCCAGACTCTGGGACCTTGATTTCCAAAGGAAATGCAAAATTTACTGTAATCAGAGAACAAAACTTTGGACCACTCAGCAGCAGTCCCAGGCAAGATGCTTCTGACGCAGTCTCTTGTTCAAGAGTGGCTTGACCTGGGGAATGCGGCACCTGCAGCCCATTTCCTGCACACGCCTGTGCACGGTGGCTCTGGATGTTTCTACTCCAGACTCAGTCCACTGCTTCCGCAGGTCCCCCAAGGTCTGGAATCGGCCCTTCTCCACAATCCTCCTCAGGGTCCGGTCACCTCTTCTCGTTGTGCAGCGTTTTCTGCCACACTTTTCCCTTCCCACAGACTTCCCACTGAGGTGCCTTGATACAGCACTCTGGGAACAGCCTATTCGTTCAGCAATTTCTTTCTGTGTCTTACCCTCTTGCTTGAGGGTGTCAATTATGGCCTTCTGGACAGCAGTCAGGTCGGCAGTCTTACCCATGATTGTGGTTTTGAGTAATGAACAAGGCTGGGAGTTTTTAAAATCCTCAGGAATCTTTTGCAGGTGTTTAGAGTTACGTCGTTGATTCAGATGGTTAGGTTAATAGCTTGTTTAGAGAACCTTTTCATGATATGCTAATTTTTTGTGACAGGCATTTTGGGTTTTCATGAGCTGTATGCCATAATCATCAGTATTAAAACAATTAAAGACCTGAAATATTTCAGTTGGTGTGCAATGAATCTGAAATATATGAAAGTTTCATTTTTATCATTACATTATGGAAAATAATGACCTTTATCACAATATGCTAATTTTTTGAGAAGGACCTGTACATGCTCTCTTCCTTTTCGGGTCACGGGGGTCACTGGTGCCCATATCCAGCCGTCAATGTGTGAAAGGCAGGGGACACAGGACAGGTCACAAGTCAAACAAACAAAAATCATTAGTAATATTTTAATAATCTAAATATTCAAGAAGCTTTCTCAGTTTAAAACAAGAGTGTGGAGTTCAAGCTTTGAACTGCAGGAATTTCAATTAAATTCAAAAATACTTTATTAATCCCAAAGGGAAATTATTTGTTGTTGTAACTCGTTATCCTCATTTCATTAAGAGATGTTATAGATGCTGATGCTGTAGACAGGAAGGATCTCTTGTAAAGATCCATCCCACAGTGGATCCTAAGAAACTGGTTGCAGATGCCGTCCAATTCGTCCACCCAGACTCGGCTGGCCTCTCGGTTCTCCCAGGCTGTAGGACCGCCCGAATGCCAGGAAGAACTCCTCCCAGAGCGATGGCCACTCCTCCCAGCAGTCTGCCGAGCTCCTCATCGCTGTGGACAGCCAACTGTAGGTGCTGAGGGACAATCCTGTCCTTCTGCTGTCAAGAGCCGTGTTTCCTGCTAGTTCCAGGATCTCAGTGGTCAGGCACTCGAGCACAGCTGGCAGGTAGATGAGAATGCATTCACATAACATCCTTTTCAACTCATTTGAGATTTGGGGCTGTAGCTGAGATATTATTTGAGCTTTTGAGATGTTAATCAGCTGCTGTTGGTTGTAGAAAACTGCCTTGTTGCCATGGTTACGCATCATAACAAATGTCCAAAACTAAAAAAGTTTCAGTAAAAATCCTTCCAGCTGCACAGCATCTGATACCAGAGGAAACAATCATCCAAAAAACGTGATTTACATCCAGAAAAAGAGGAATTAAAGTTTCCAAAAGCAAAATCTCAGAATGAAAGTAACAGCTGCTCCAACATGCAGCCACTTTGAGTGGCGCAATTCTAGAACAAACATCACACCAGATGTTTGGAACATCACACTCACCAGTTTTGAACTGGTTTCCCATCCTTAAATGTTTGTTTTATCCAGTCTTCTTTCTGACTTGATGCCAGTTAATTAAATGCAAAAGGCTCCTCCAGACTCTTCTTATTCATACCACGTTAGTTTATTAGATTACTATTATAGACATTTTTAAGATTGTGCGCAGGACAAATGTCTAGAGAAATAATTTAGAAACAGAAGTTATCAAAAGGAACAACTGAATGGAAGAATGCTAAACATCGTGTCTCAATGCATCTTTATATTAGTGGCATCAACAAGGACCAAGCTGTGATTAAAACGAGAACGTCTCAGCTTCTGTTACTGTTATCTTGTTATTGCTGTTTTCTATTCAAGTTGTTTTTGTATTGGTTGTTATTAATAACAACCTTTGGTTAAGATGATTTGTCAGAAGGTATTCATAAGCTGGAGTTTTGGCCTTCACCCTTTTTCAGACTAATTACACACTTTTACAAGTCAGTACACTTGTTATGTTTATTGATCTTTATTCATTTATGTTACATTACAATATTCATTTGTTCTGTTTAGTTAAAAATAAACAATTCTCAATATACACACAGACACAGAACAGTTAAGTTAGAGGTCATTTATTGTTGTCTCTGGACAGGACCAGAGCAAGGCCAATGATATGCAGTAAAAAAAGGCATGTGTCAGCCCAACAGTCGTAGTGAAGCGTCAGTCCTCAGGCACTGTGCACGAATTTACCAGAGTTTCTGTTCCTGTTGGACCCTTCAGTCCTTCCTGTGTAAGAGCGCTCGGTGTGGAGTGTGAACATCCAGAGTGTGTGTGTGCTGATAGAAACAGTCACTTCTGCTCCTCTGATGCAGAGGGCTTAGCAGCTTCAGCTGTTGTGTGATCTTCGTTCACGGCAACTATCAGGAATTCTTCGTTTGTCTGGACCTGTGGAGGATGTGTGCAGCTCGAGCCATCTGCCTGGAGGTTGTGGTTGGACATTGCATCTGACTGGGCTCCCCTCTCCACAGTCAGATCCAAGTCCTGGTCTGAAGGATGAGGTAGACTGGCTAAAAGTTCCTAAACACACAAAGCACATGTCAGGTTACAATTACTGTATTTTCCATCTAATAAAGTGGAAAAATCCATAAATACGTCGCATCTATTACGCGTCACCGCTGACAACCCGGAAATGTGGGCCGGTGCTGTGCCAAAAATCGATTGGCTGCCAAATGGCGGCCGCGGGAGCGTGCACGGGAGGACTTTAACAAGAATTTAACTAAATTAACCCTTAAAAACAATTATTTGCTTGCTCAAAATTATAGCAAAGGTGTGTCTCAGTCTAACTTTTCCTTAATAAATGCACTTTGACGGTCAAATCAGATGCATTTGAAAAGCCGATACGCAGAAACATGAACGCGCAGAGGGACGACTCACTGTGCATTTCTTCAAAAATTTAACAAGATAACCGCCTAAAACAATTATTTGTTTGCCCGACTTTATAGTAAAGGTGTGTCTCAGTTGAACTTTTACGTGATAAATGCACTTTAATGGTCAAATCAGCTGCTTTTCGACGTGGCGGAGCAGTGAAATGAAGCTGATTTGACGGTTGCTCCAGGCAGACTATGGTGGCAGATTATGGCAAGACAGTTGTGTCATTAATAGTCATTTTTACCTATTACATGACTCAACAGCAAGCCATACAATCGACTGACATCTAGCGGCTGAAAATGATAGTGTTGAATATTTTCAGTCAGAATGAATGAAAACGGTCATATCTCAGCCAAAAATTGGTTTATAAATATGGAGAAAAAAATCCATAAATACGTTGTTTCGGTGTATAAGTCGCAGGGCATGCAAATTGTGCAAAAAACTGCGACTTATATGGTGAAAAGTATGGTAAACTCTCTCACTTAATATTCAAAATGATTATTCTTGGCTCAGAATGCACCTGCTGTCTCTCCAGGTCGTTGTTCCTCACAGCACTGAGCAGGCTCTTCGTGAAGTCTACAAGCTGCTGGTATTTTTGTTTTTGGTTCTCTAGCTCGTTCTCCAAGAACTGCACTTCCTCGTGCTGAAACACAAGATTGGACTGAAGTCAGAACTTTAGGGCCCGGCAGTGCTGCAGCGCCTCTAGAACGCTGCTGTTTGACCTTGGTGTTTCTGCGCATGCGCAGCAGGAAGTGTGTTTGATCAATGTGCGCGCTTTCACCTTGAATTCCAGCAGATTCTGCATTTGCTCGAGGTCTGAAGTCACAAAGTCTTCGTCAGCTTCTTCATCTTCGTCGATTGCTTCTATCTTCTGTCAAACACACAGATCAGACAACTGAAGACCTCATGCAGAAAATAACTGACATGCTTCAGATGAAAGGTGCTGCATTCATGAACAAGTTTCACAAAGTTTATTTAAAACAATCTGTTTTGAGAAAACAGCTTTTTATTTTAAGCTTTTATGAACGTTTTTGATGCAAGTCTAACTATTGTGAACTTTAAAGTTATAGCTCAGATCTTTTGAAGCGGGGTTCTTGTGTAAAAATGATGAACAATTAGTATCTTACATGTTGTGGATAGATGATTAAACCAGCTCAGTTTGGAAAAAAAACGATTTGACATCAGACAGGACTGTTGAGATAATGCTGTCCAGTGTTTCCCTTAGTTAATTTGTCATGGCGGGGTGCTCATCTCATCCATTTTTGTTGATGGGGGGATGGAGACATGTCTGAGCGCAGCTTGTAACAACAGATTTTGAGCGAGGGCGGGGGGGGAGGGGAGGCGTTCAGCCTGAGGGAAGCACTTTTAGCTTTTTAGCTAGAGCGCATGTATTGCAGGCAACTAGCTTAATGCTATGTCAGTGCCAGTGGTCGGTTTGGTAGGAGGGGTGCTCAGTTCTGTTGACGGGTGGGGCACCCCGCTTTTATAATGGTAGGGGAAACATTACTGTCCACATTAAAGTGGAAAAAGTGTTTATATGCAAGAGCAAAACCCAGAAGCATTTACATGTAGCACTGTTTGTGCAGCTTGTGATCAATTTAAGCAAAATAAAAATCACATTGTCAAAATAATCATGTAGGGCAAAATGTATATAAATGTAAAAGTTTAAATAATAACCTTTGCATGAAATCTTGACGATTCTTGATTAAGAATGACACGATCAGCTTTGGAAGCTAAAAGCTTGTCTGAGTGAGGCTAAAGCCAAAGTTGCTTTAAAACAACTCCAAATCCTAAATGTATAGCAGTTCATGGGAATGCTATTTTATTAACATCTAGACTGGACTATTGCAATGGTTTATTGTCTGGGTGTCCAAATACTTCTTTAAAACGTCTTCAGTTGATCCAAAATGCTGCTGCCAGAGTCTTAACTGGAGTTAGTGGGAGAGATCATCTCTCTCCAGTTTTACTCTCCATTGGCTCCCTGTCAAATTCAGAATTTAATTCAAAATCTTACTTCTAACCTACAAAGCTCTCAACAACCTAGCTCCATCTTATATTCGAGATCGTATTGTTCCATATTTTCCTAACAGAGCACTTCGCTCTCAGACTGCAGGTTTACTCGTGGTTCCTAGAGTTTCCAAAAGCAGAATGGGAGGAAGATCTTTCAGTTCTCAGGCTCCTCTCTTGTGGAACCAACTTCCAGTTCTGTCCATGAGGCTGACACATTGTCCAGTTTTAAGACTGGGCTCAAGACTCTCCTTTTTGATAAATCCTATAGTTAGGGTTGACTTATCATGCTGCTATAGGCTTAGACTACTAGAGGACAAATTGACCTCATTTCCTTACATTAATTGCTAAAATTGAATATTTTTCATTTGATACTATTTCTATATTAACATGTGATTCTCGACCTGCCATTGTGTATCTGTTCCTACCAAACCCAGCCGGTCGAAGCAGATGAGCCTGGTTCTGCTGAAGGTTTCTTCCTCATGAGTTTTTTTCTTTCCACTGTCGCCTTCATGCTTGCTCAAGATGAGTCGATGAAGTTAAAGATGAAGTTAAATTCAAAGCAGTCTGCCCATCAGTTAAATAATGTTAACTTACTTTTATATTTATGAATGTTTCTGTTCAGTGCCATGAGATGACTACTGGTGTGACTTGGCGCTGTATAAATAAACTGAACTGAGTTGAAACGTAACCTGTATGTTGCCATCAGTTGTGCATTACATAAGTATTCCAGCAGAAATATGTTTGTTTTAAGCTCAAATAGGAGCAGCGGTGACATTTTCAGTAAGGACATCATATTTCTGCTAAAATATTTGTCTATTTGCAGGCAGAACTGTAAAGGTTTATAAAATAGCATTTACATCATTCCTATAAAACCTTTGAAACAGCAGAGAAATGCTACTCTGACTAGCCGTTAGTTAATCTGGTCAGAAATGAACTTTTTTCTCAAAACGGAGGTCCTTCAAAAAGTTGTCTACTACAGGTAAAACGTTAACTGTTCCTAATCTTTCCACAGAGCCCACTTCAAAAACATCTTCCCATTCTCTTCATGAAGGTTCAGTACTATCAAATCAAACATTAAAGTACCACATTATCGAGCAGCAGAGGAGCAGAGGACACATCTGGTTCATCATCTCCGTCTCTGTGTTGAGAGTCCACGGTCCCATCTAGATTTGAGAACACAAAGTGAAGGCTTTTCTGCAGTTTGTTCAGCCATCCACGGTCATGAGCGCAGCCTCACCCTCAGACATGCACACAGACTCTCCATCGTTCAACTCATCAACCAGATCAGGCATCCTGAGCTGCTCGCCGTCTGGGCTGAGGGTCAGCGGAGACTGGTCTCCTGGAGAGGAGCTTGTGAATACAGCAGGTCCACCTTTAGGAGGGGGGATTTCAATGCCCATCAGACGGTACTTCCTCCGTCTGTTGCTGATCCATGTCTGCAAATTAAAGAACAACAGTAACACCTCGATAAGAGCGAAAGAGCTCATCAGAAACTAAGGTACTTTCATGTTCTGTGGAAATGCAGTCTGAATGTTGAGAGCTGAACGACTGCTGACATTTGCTGAACATGAAACTGAGTTGTTGAAGCTAAAACAAACAGAGGCTGAAATGAGCGGAACACAACCTAAAAACAGGAAAACGTGCTAAAAACTAAAAGCAGCAGAACAGTCAGTAGGAGCTAGGAGGAGCAGAACAGTCAGTAGGA